GACCCCCAGGAACATGGCTGTAAGCAACTGGTGGTCGGCCTGGCGGAACGAAGTAGTCTGCCTGAGGACCACGAGGCGGAGGTGAGGGCTTCGGTGATCCCTTGGGCGGGTAGGGATTTCGGACGTGCACGTATGCTGCCTTCACTCTCGGCTCGTCTCTTTCTGCTGGGCGAGCAGGGGCAGTCTTTGGTGATGCCGGCTCCTCGTCTGGCACTGCTGCCTTCCTCAGTTTTTCAGCGCATTTCTTGTGCCATTTCTCGATTCCGGCGTCTGGCTCGCTGGGCAGTGCATCTGCGGGTAGATCTGGGGGGAAGGGTTCGCCCGTCTCGGGATGCTTCAGGTTCCAGCTCTTGACGGCCTGCTGGATGAAAGGTACGTGTTCCTCGGGGCTCAGCAGTATCTCGATCGACTCCCATCGAACGAAGCCACGAAGGGTCAAGGCTGGGACGGAAGGGGCGTCGAAGTCGTTGTCGGAGGGCTGCATGGAGTGCTGGCAGCCGGTGACCTGCCAAATGTAGGATATGGCGGGAAATGGCATATCGACAAATAGGGCTATGGCGACGAGCCGTCAGCATGGAGTGCCTTGCACAGGTTGAGCATTCAGGCTTACAGTCATAGTTACCACCAACGGCCTTATAGAAGGCTGCCAGCTTTTGGGGGGTCAAGGCTTGAACATGTCTATCGCCAATATCGCGAATCTATAGAAAGGCGGGGTTCAGTTAGTATTTGGCCATGGGTGGGTGGAAGCGAGGTGGAGGAAGCCAGGGTTTGTCGCAGACGTACAATATGTTGGGCGATAGCGCGAAGGAGAGCATCGAGAATCGGTGTTGGAGCCTTGTCTGGGCCGAAGAGATAACCATAAGGGGAGGATGGCTTTGGATCGGGGTTCTGAGCCTGTGTCTGGGCCTGCGGTTGAGGTTGCGGCTGAGGTTGAGGATGAGGATGAGCAGAGGACTCTTTGGAGTCGGCCTCTGCAGTCGCCGTCGCCATTCGGGGCCGAAGTCTACATCAACGGTGCGTTTTTGTGGGCAGGAATGTCCGGGACAAAAGTGTGGAGATTGGACGGGATGGAGAAATATAACGGTTTTGGTGGCGTGTGCTGCTGACAAGCAAAGGGCTTTGGCTTCGCAGGCAGTGACTGGAGCGAGCTGGCGTTTGGATTATGAACGACTTGGAGCGCAAGTTATCGTCCAGTTCGGTTGATATTGAAAGGCTCGAGAAGAGTTCAGGCTGCTAGCGTAAGACTGCGAGCGCGGGCAAGGTTGAGTTGAGGGTTCAACGGCTACTAATAACTCAAGGTACTTTGGGTGCGGGCCGCCGCCACAGCATCGTCATACGAGAGAGTGTGAAAGAGAGAGATGCGAGGCAGAAGTAGGCTGAAGCCAAGCCGTGAGTCAAAGCCGGATGGATACGTGCGGATGCAAGTCGAGGCTGGTAGGCGCAGGATGAGGACTCGGTCAATATGCGCGCCAGAGGAGCGAGAGGGTGCGCGCGAGTGCAGCCGGTGGCAGGAGAGAAATATCCGGGTCGAGGACTAGTGGGTGTGAAGCGTGGATGAAGGGGATGAATGTGTGTAAGAAACACAATCCAAGGTCGAGCGAGAGTCGAAAGCGACGACGGGAGAGTGCGGTGCAGCTGGTTGATGGACGATCGGGCGGGCAGTGAGCTGATGATGTAACTAAAGTACTCGGACTGCAACATGAGGTGGGCAGGGTACTTGGGCCTTGTTGTTGCTGGGAGGGGGGGGGGGGGGTGGGAGGGGTCAAAGACGCACGCACGATGGGACGGATGGGCATTTTTTGGGGGGTTCAAGGTCGCCGCCGCTCTGGGGCTCTAGGTACATTGTTTTTGTGGTGAGATGGACGGGGGACCAGGGGGAAGGAAGGAAGGGACTCGAGGGAGGAAGTACATACCTTACCAACTTACCTTGCCTACCCTTGGACATGGACTTTCCATCCCGTCAGGCAGAACCGAGCTGCGGGAAGCAATGGATCCGCCTGGTTGTTCTTACCTTACGTAGCCGGGCTCTTTCACAGCTTCCGCTCAATAACTAAGTCTGCGCCGTACTGCGGTACATGCAGCAGCGCTGCGCAAGACCGGGAAGGACAAGGCAGGCAAGGCAGTGGCAGGTAAGAATAGCGATCAAACAGGGAAAACGTTTGGCTGTTGGGCTGACACGTGCACCCTGGCGCAGCTTCCCTTGCGGGGACAAATTTGGGCCGGACCGTCGGCTGCCTTTCGAAAAGTACATGTCTTACCTACGTGGTTGAGCTGTGTCTGCAAGTACCTTTCCCCTCCCACCTGGCTTCCGCGCATCTCTAACCGTCGGGTACGTACCGCCTTAGGGTGCCTTCTTCCTGTAACTTCCATTTCTCACGATGTACCTTTTTTCCCCATGATAATCTCACCTCTTCACGACCGCTAGTTGGGAACATCACCGCTCCACCCCCTCTGACTTGCATAGGCACACATTCCTGACCAGCTACCTTACCTCTCACACACACACACACATTCTCTCTTACCAGTCACCACCACCATCCCACGGCATCTCGATGCATCCATACTCTGTCGTCGTTTTGGGTTCAACTCCCGAGGTTACGCCTAATATCTCGACCATCGCGTCCCCGACTCCCCACCAGCTGATCAACATGATTTGGCATCCATACTCCTGACTTTACCTTCCAGGCTCCAGAAGATAAGGCAAAGTGAGGCTGGGCAGCAAAACGGACCCAACTATCCAGATGATCCAGATGACCAAAGAGGCCCGTCGAAAGCGATGGATGCCGATGCCCAGTTCCCTCGGCCCCCAGGATGCAGCCTGAAAGTCTGCCCAGGTGAGCCGTCTGCTGGACATGCCCAGCTGCGATGTGCCTTGTTGCGGAGGCTGGTGCCCGCTCAGCCGCCAGCCGGCCCTAGCCACGCAACCCTCTATTCCAGAGGCAACCCGACAGGCTGTCCCGTCTGTTCTTGAACTCTTCATACGGAAATCAAGAGAGTTAAAGGCCAAAGGGAACCAGCAGACGCTGAAGAGGAACTGCCCAGCCACACGCCATTAAGCTGGTCGAATTCTGCTCCATCTCATCTCTTTCCCCGGCCCTCCACCACACGACTTCTGAGAAGCTACTTTTCCTAGACTCTAGACTCACTAACCTCCAAGACAGCGTCACCATGTCCACCTACGCCGCGACCAATTTGCTTCCCCGACAGGCTGGAACCCGGCGAGCGCATTTGCAAAACACCAGAGATGCGGTTCGACAATCCACCCAATCTTTTCGTTACCCTCGCCCTATCTTCCAGACTTCCAGAAACGCTGCTAGCAACCGGAAAGTGATCCGCGGCCGTGCATTGTACATCCTTACGAATACATGGCATAGTGTCTTTACCCTGGCTTACCGTGGTGACTCTGCGTGTCCATCTAATTCTAATTGTTGCAGCAGCCATGTATGATGCAGTTGCAGCCAAGGTTTTGGGACAGTGATCTGGCGGTGAGCACAAGGCGAAAGATTACGAACAAGGCTTGCAGGGACCGGCTGTTGTACATTGCGTCGACCAAGTGCCATTTCTACCACTTCCTGACACTGCAGCAACCAACGGGAATGGGATGACCACCTGTTGTTGCACTGGCTGCCTACCATCTGCCTGGTCGGCACACCTCGAGCACTATCTTTATCTTACATGAATCTGTCGCCGTTCCGTCGCCTCGGTTCCCTGTCTATACAGAAACGATTGATACGTCTTGGATAGAATCAAACCCTTTCACGCTCATTGGAAAGCAGTATACCACAGACCGATAGCGGCGCCCGCAAGGGAAATGATGCTTCTTACGGCGTTGAGTGCCTGCCACCTCTTCAACAAATCTGTGGTCTCGGACAGACCCAGCGTTGCGATGCCCCGTGCACCGGCCATGAGCGCATTGTTCGTTGACGACATGAAGATAATGGTATAGGGCACGATGGCGAGACTCAAAGCTCCAGCGGCAACAAACGGCTTCCACGCAACACCCTGGTCGTAGCGATCGTATGCAGAGTAGGCCAGCGAGAGCGTAACGGCGAGCGCTACTTTTGGGCCGGTCGACGCGCCGTTCAAAAATATGTGTTGCCACAGCTTCAGTGCATGACCTGGCTCGGCGCTGGTTTGGAGAATGGCGGGGATGCTGAACATGGATAATGATGCCGCCGCGCCTAGACTAAAAGTCAGCAATTGACGTCGTTCACGCTGATGATGGCACGGAGAGAAAGAGTGGGAGCCCGCGGGTGAAGGGGGAAGAGAAGTTGCTAACCTGCCCACCATGCGCACCCGAGGACGCCAGTAGCAGTGGCAATGGTGTTGGCCATTCCGAGTTGCGACATGGTGGTTTCGGTGGTCTTTTCTTGGGTAGTAGTTGTTGGTGTGGTAGGGATGACGACAGTGACTGTGTTGCGACGGCAATACTTGAGATCGGGTCGGCACGAATGAGGCAATGTGTGATTTCGTCTGTAGCGTCTCTCTATATGATTCTATTGTATGATGAGATGCATTTAACTTTTTGGCGTCATCTGTACCAATATATACCGGAGAAGGAGTCCGGGAAACATCGGCGGTGCTAGCCCCGATGAGATCGGAGGAATCACGGACGACACAAATTGTCCGAAGCTGTGTTCTCCACCCCGAGTCTCGCGTGTCCGATGCCGTCCTCGTTGCGACCTCCGCGCCGTACTGGCTGGCCCCATCATTACGGCGCTCTCAATTCCATTCGAGAGCTAGAAAACCCGGGCATGCCCCATGTTGAGGTGGTGCCGAGCCTCCCAAAAAAAAAATCTTGGCCAACTTAAATAAGGTAGACCAACAAGGTTTTGCGGCAACGCACCCATCTGGAGCTGAACGCCGCAAAGAGCCCAGGGATGGGTGGGCGGTTTAATCGAACGACGCATGGTCAGTGGTGAATTTCCTTGCTCTCCCACATTTTCCTCTTTCATCTTCAGTGTTCCGTTCCGATTATCGTATTGCGGTTGGGGTTTTTCCTATTTCGGCGCCTCGATGCCATAGCCGACAAGCGTCGTCGTCTCCTGCGTCTTTTCATCGCGTTCCGTCCAGACCTTGAGCTTTTGGAAGCCCGTCTTGTCCAAGACTTTCTGGCTGGGCAAGTTGTCCAGCTCCGTCACGGCGGTGAGAATCTCCCCCACCGCCACCACGGCCGCCCCGTTCACCTCGGACAGGGACTCGGACCCGGGCTGCTCCTGGGACGGCCGGGTCTCCTCCCCGACGACGCTCTTCTCAACCCGGAGCGCAGGCGCAGCGGAGCGGGGCAGGGACCACCACGCGTCGACGAAGCCCCGCAGGAACTCGGTGGCGTACCCTTTGCCCCAGGCCTCTTTGCAGAAGAGGTATCCGATCTCGGGCCAGCCCAGCTCGCTGCCGGGCAGGCCGGGACTGCTGGGGCCGATGCGCTTGACGCCGCCGAGGCCGACGAATTCACCCGTCGAGCGGAGGCAGATGGTGAAGTTGTAGTTGTGCGCGTCGTTGGGCGGGAGGTTGTGGTCCAGCCAGGCCTGCGTCTCGTCGAGGTCCGCGTCGGGGCGGCCGGCGACGGCCCACCTCATGACCTCAGGCTGGGAGCGCATAGCGTGCAGGGCGGGCAGGTCGTCTTGGCTGACGGGCTTGAGGATGAGACGCTCGGTGAGGACGGGCTTGCGCGTGGCGAGAAGGGGGAGGGGGAGGGTTGGGAGGGTGGTATTCACCGTGATGAAGTCTAGGTGTTCATTATCCATTTCGGGCATGTTTTCTTTTTGTTTCCCTTGTTTCCTTTCGTTGAATGTTTCTTCAATCTTTGGTACCGGGCTTAACAAAGAGCCAAGTTTGTATGTGTTTTGTTATCTCTTTGCATGACTTCATTTTCTATTTCTTCGTCTGTAACATTTTCACGGAAAATTTCTGGGTTTGAGTCATCTCAACGGGCCCTCAGTTGGGTGACTGTTTATCCTAAGAGTGAGGGACCCCCAGAGTATAGTAAGCAAGCGCGCTATTACTCTTTCAGCATTGCCGTTTTGGCGTACGAATATCTCTGATCGAAAATACGACTAAATACGACGAGGCCTGGCCGGGGGACGGATAGTTCCGCAAATTTATCAGGCTCGCAATCGGCGGTCTTCCGAGCGCCGCGCCGCGCCGATTTTGACGGTCCAGGTCTTTGTTCGTCTCCTGAATAGACTTGGCGCTCCCATCGGGCAGAATGCAAGAAACCCAAACTGTAATCACGATCCGCGATATCCAGGTGGTCTGTCAAATTCTCTCCTAATCGCGGCAAGATACCGGGCGGGAAACTTTATCTTAACCAAAGGTAGCCAGACCTCCATCTCTAGCGAGACCGAGCAAATCACGACTACTCATGTATGTGTGATCCTACGAGTACAGACGTGCTGACATATCAGTCATTTCTACGTAAATCTACCCGTTCAAGTGGTCGGCAGCTATTAGTCTTGTTTTTTAAGGTTTTTTCTTACGCCTGCTGCAGCGGGGTGGTAAGGTGGTTTCGGGCAACCCCTGGGAAATTTTGCATCTGAACGCAGATCGGGGGAACAGTGCAGTGGGGAACCACACAGGCTACAGCCCAAATCCTCATAGGTATATCCCCCCCCGGCGCTTCTACCTATCTCGTCTCACCCACAGCTCATCCTGTTTTGCTCACAGCGCAGAACGACATCATCAAGCGAAAACCCCAGAATCCCGGAAACCGATTCGCGGAATAGTTTTTCTTATCAATTATTACCTCTTCTTTACACCTTTCCCCCGCCTTTTTAATCTGGATGAAAACCTAACTATCTACTCCGTAGACGGCGGACGAACGTCAGCCCGGGCTTAGGAGTTACAAGCACGTTGATCGCCCGTTCGCTCTTAACTTACAAGGAATGCAAGCGCGAGAGGCCTAGCGGGGAAACCCTCAAAATCGTCAACGTCAGCAAAGACCATCCACACACCTCTCACACACCCTGAGCTTCACTTGAGCTTCACTCACGTCAGGGTCGCTCACACACCCGTCACTCATACTCACCCACACCACCTTCCACTCATACTAAAAAAATCCCCTACTAGACAATGACACCGCCGGCATCATCGGCGACCGCAGCCCGACAACAATCCGACCAGAACACCGCCGCTCCTGGCAACAGCGGCACCAGCAAACAACAGCTCAGCTGCGCAAACTGCCGCCATCGCAAGATCAAATGCGATAAGCTACAGCCTCGGTGCAAGCAGTGCGAGCGCTCCGACCTCGACTGCGTCTTCCCCTCCCGGAAGCGGAACCGCAAGCCGCGCCAGGGGAGGCAGAACGAGCTGCTGAATCGCATCACCCGTCTGGAGAGCATCGTCAGCAAAGTTGACTCTGGTAACGTGGATGGAGTCGTCAGGGGCGGCGGTAGCGGGACCCCAACCGGCTCGGCGGGAGGAGCGGTGCCCCCTGCGGCCTTGCTCACGGCTGCCGTCTCATCGACGCCGCATTCCATATCGGCGGCGACGGGCCGAAGGGGTCTTGGTGGCGACTCGGTCTCGGGCATGAATGACGCGGAGCCGTCGCCGCCCGGAGCGGGGTGGGACTCCCAGCCTGCCCCGCCGACCAACTACATGAGCGCCGAGTTCTGGGAGAATCTGTGCCAAGAGGTCGAGGGCATGAGACAGGCCTTGGACCAGCCCTCCGACAGCGAAGGGTCCGACGATGAGGAGCCAGGAGGTCAGGGCCAGCAGCATCAGCACAGCACGACGAGCCCCGAGTCATCCACCGCCAATAAGGGCCAGACGCCTCCCGCGCTGTCTGGGCTCATCTCCAGCTTCGTCACGGGCGGGGACGAGCCGCTGAGGCACCCGCCGCGGGATCACATCATGTACATGTGCGGCATCTTCTTCTCCAACGTCGATCCGGCGTTCAAGGTCATTCACCGGCCGACGGTCTCTGTCGAGCTGGAAGGGTTCGCGAACGCTGTGAATAAGCACATCGATGATGCGACGGAGGCCTTATTCTTTTCCATGTACTATGGTGCCGTCACCAGCTTGACAAACGAGGCTTGTCTGAGGAACTTGGGGGAGGAGAGGAGCGTGCTCGCGCAGAGGTACCGGGAGGGCGTTGAGAGGGCGCTTCACAAGGCGGATTATCTCAACAGCACTGAGATTCGGACCCTTCAAGCGCTGACTTACTACGTGGTAAGTCTCTTCAGTCACGTTCATATCAAATCCGGTTCAAGATCTAACCATCTCACAGTGCTTCCTCCGCTCACACAACGCCAGCCGTGCCTCATGGGCCCTCATCCCCCTCGTCGTCCGCCTCGCCCAGGCCCTCCACCTTCACCGCGACGGCGTCAACCCCCCTCTCCCGCCCTTCGAGGCCGAGATGCGCCGCCGGCTGTGGTGGATGATTGTCGTCCTCGACATCCGCGCCGCCGAGGACCGCGGCACCGACGCCGCCATCCCGCGGCAGTCCTACAACACCCGCCTGCCTTTCAACCTCGACGACGACGACTTCGGCCCCGGGACGACGGATCCGCTCGAGGACAGGACGGGCCCGACCGAGATGACGTTTTGCCTGTGCACGAGCATGTCGTCGGGCATCTTTGGCAACCTGCGGCCGCGGCACCCGCAGCTTGCGCTCGACAACGACGGCACGCCGGAGCCGACGACGTCAGAGGATGAGATTATGGCGCACGCGCAGCGTCTCGAAGCGCTCTTTGGCACCGCGCCGGCCAAAACACCTGCATCGGACGGCGATGGCTCTGGTGGCGGTGGCGGCGGCGGCGACGACGAAGACCAGGACACCCGGCACCTACCCGCCAACCACGCCGCCGTGACGGTGCGCATCATCATTCTCAAAATGTGGTTATCTGCACAATATCCCTTCACACCGCGCGCCTCCACGGCGACGGCGAAGCCCCGCGTCGCGCGGGAGACGATGCTCCGCACGGCGGTGAACACGATCGAGCTGGTCGAGTATAGCTCCGCGACCTACCGCGAGCGGTTCGGGTGGTGGATCGACAGCTACGTGCAGTGGCACCCGCTCGCCGTCGCGCTGGCGGAGCTGTGCGTGCAGACGCGCGGGGAGCTGGTGGAGAGGGCGTGGCGCGTGGTGGATCGGAACTTCCACGGGATGAGGGAGCGGATCGCGGATACGAGGCGGGGCACGCTGTGGAGGCCGCTGAAGAAGCTTTTGAGACGGGCGAGGGCTGCGAGAGCGGAGGCTATGATGGGGGCGTTGAAGTTGGGTGATGGTGGGAGGGGGGCGCCTGTGACTGCTGCGGCGGCGGCGGCGGCGACGGAGCAGAAGGGGGCTGCGAGGAGGACGGTGGAGGTGCCGCAGCATGAGGAAGAGGAGGAGGAGGAGGATGATGACGATGAGGATGGTGATGATGATGGCTATGGAGACGTGGATGTCATGGGTGTTCAGGAGCCATCATTTGCCGCCGCGGCGGCGGTGGGAGGCCACGGTGTGAGTATGGGAACATTACACCCAGCTTTCAGGACAGACCGTATCGGCGGTAACACCGCTGCCGCTGCTGCTTGGCAAGGAGGCGGCTCCATACTGCCTCCCACGAGTATGCCTTTCGCGACGACAAACACAGTCGGTTTGGGTGGTCCCACGCCGATGGCGGTTGACCCGTCGATAGCGGCGGCGGCCGGGATGCCCGCGACATCACTGCCTCCGTCAACGTCGGCGCCCATGAACCCGCCGTTCGGGCTGACGCCGGAGGACATGGCCATGTTTGGAGGAACGCCGCTGTTTAGTAACCCGCAGGACCTGATTGCGCATTTCGGGATCCAGATGGATGCTGGAGACTTTGGGTGGGATCCGAGTTCGTGGGACGAGTTTGTCGTTGATGCGAATATGGAGAGGTCACCTGGGGACGACGGGTGATTTCAGTTTGAGTGACTAAGGTAATCACAAGAGGAGGACGAGGAGGTGTATGGGATACCCAAATGAACTGACGCGCAAGTGTGGTGTATAATAAGGAAAAAGGAAAGGAAGAAATGAAATGGTGATGCTGTACGATAGGGATGACGAATCACGCCCATCAATACTGGAGAATGGAAGAGGAATCTAGACTCTCAAATGAAATTCATTGTACTTGGGCTTGATTAAATGAGTGAATGATTCTCGACAACTTGATGACTCCTGTTCCAGACAAGCGGGCAGAGCTTCAAGATAAGGTATGTCGACTTCGAAGTAAGCATATAATGTAAGTGAACGGGGCTTGTTGCCGGGCCTTCACATCATGAGAGTGATATGTCACTGGACACTAGAACGTGAACAACTAATCACCACGATATTATAGAGGTTACGTCATGCTCAGGTGGGTTGCATGTGCTTTCGCATTTGGGAGCAGCTGGGAAAGAAAAAGGTAGATGCCAAGTGAGAGCACTCTACGTTACGAACAGTTGAAGACATGCAGGCATCACATCACTGGCAATCAGAAAATTTTGACAACCGACGCAGGGTGAGTTGGCATTTGTCTACGTAGACGAAACCGGACGTCTTGACATCCCTCTTCTGGCCGAGCAGATCTAAAGGTAAACCGCATCGTCTCATCAAGAAGTCGTAATTCACAGCTTCGTACTCAGGTATCATTCGTCCATCTATCAAAAGGGCGGTTTGAGTAAGGTTTCCCCTCCCTCCCCTGCTGCTTTTTTGGCCATGCTCGCGAAAAGATGATGTTTTGAATTGATTTCATTTCTTTTGGTGGCCCCCGCCTTCAGAGAGCAAATGCACGTGATAGTTCCATAGACCTAGTGAACACCTGCC